CGATTTTAACGAAAGTTGAGGAGACGCAGAGAAGCTAGAGGATATCCTTGTCTGCGTCTTTCACGCGCGAAGTTTAAAGGCGCATAACTCAATATTAAGGATTCAAACGTGGTCTGATTTAGAGAGTTTGTCAGTCTTAGCGGCAAAATTTTCAGAAAAATTCGGAAAAATAGGCTTAGAATGGCTGAAAACACGTTAAAATGGGCTAAAAATGTCCGGAAATCGGATAGAAATGCCCCCTTCAAAGAGGAGCTGCCTCCAGCTGTATCTTTAAAGGCGCATATCTCAAAAACCACAGTAGCTAGAAAAAAGCTGACAACTACAAAAATAAAGCTCTAGTTTTGTTCAGTATACCTGAGGATTTTCAAATCTATACAACAAAATCCAAGCGGCCCTCATTCTTTATTCAAATTCCGCTCTTTTTAAATTTCGGGAGAGAGGGGTACCCCTCGGAAATAAGTAGTACTAGTAGTACTTTTGAAGATTTGCATCTTTTCTATTTTGATGAGGTTCCATAAAGAGTGTATGGAGATTGTAAGGTTCCGATAAGAGGAAAATGTTCCATTTTTGGGACAAAAAAGAAGCATTTTCGGAGAAAATTCTATTCTCAAGAGCTCTTCTTGGTGTTTGAAAGTTGAGAAGGCCTGATTTTTGGTTCAAAAACAAATAGCTGGATGAGTGGGAGAGGACCTAAAAATGCGCGAAATTTGAAATTTTTTGAAATTCCAGGTTTCGGAGCATCGGAAGAAGTGATGGCGTGCCTTCGTCAGGAGAGGTCTCGAGTGGAAAATCCATCTCAGACGATTGTGAACGTGGTGGCCGAGAATCCGGCATATCTGCACTGTAGTGTGCCGCCGGATGCCGAGCATGAGGTGAGTCAAAGGATTCTGGAAGGATTCTGGAAGATTCTAGATCGTTTTCGAAGATTCTGGAGGGTTCTAGAAGCTTCTGAACTAATCTAGAGAATTCTAAAAGATTCTGGAAGATTCTAAATGTTTCTAGAAGAATTGAAGGCTCTCGAAAGTTCCGGAACATCCTGAAAGGTTCTGGAAGATTCTAGAAGGAACCTTTAGGATTCTAGAATCTCATAAAAATTTCGACTTCCTTGTTTTTTTCTTTTTTATCTTTTTCATTCAATTCGATTCTTTTGCACAAAAAGGCTAAAAGAGGAAATGGCCAATTACGAGTTTCCTGTCCCCTTCTCTTCTGAATCTTTGCCGCACGTCTTCTTGAGCAAATAGAAGAGGATGTTGCGTCACATCATTTGACTCCTCTTCTCTTTTTTCTTCTCATAATGAATGAATAATTAGGAGGAAGGCACACATAAAAAGAGCTCCTATTAATTATGTAATCGGTAATAATAGAGCAGGCAGAGGGAGAATGTAAAAGGTTATTAATGGGATCGAGGGATTTTTTTTGGCGTTCTAAGCTCCAGATTTTCCTTCTTAGAGCGTTGGAAAATGTTGAGATTGAGGTGAGTTATGCACCTCAATCTTCCAAGAGGACAAGTGACACCCTCTTGCATTTGGAGTTGCTTCAGTGCCTCCTATCACAAAATTCCAACATCACATTTGGTGAAATTTTATGTCATTTTAAAGCGGCTGGAAAGTTCTATATTTTTCAATTTAGAATTTTCAAAAAAATTGAGTTTGAAGGAAGTTACACCTAAAAATGTGAAGGGTGTGCCACATGCCCTTTTGGAAGCCTAGCCAACTGGAACCGAAGACTAATCGGCGCATAACTTCTCTCCAACTCAATATTTTCAAATTATCTAAAATGGAAAATGTAGATCTCATCAAGCTCTACAAAATGATATATAGTTCAACCCTGATGGAACAAAACGGGTGAAACCCAACCGGTCATTATCTTGGAGGGCTTCCCCTTCCGTTTTCTAGGTGTAACTTCCTTCAAAATCAATATTTCCATGAGTTCTAAATTGAAAAATATAGATTTCCATGAGATCTACAACACAATATAAAAATTGATTAGCTGTGATTTTTGGAATCTTGTGACGGAACCCTCAAATTTTGTGAAAATTGGGCTAAATGGTGTTTCCTGAAAAAAAAACCCCTCTAACTTCTTTCAAACTCAATGTCTATGACATTTTTAAAATGGATTCTGAAGAACTTAAAAGGAGCTACTAAATAATATAAAGTTTGGCTAGTTTTGATTTTTGGAATTTTTTGAAAGGAACCTCCAAAGTTGGGAAATTGGGAATACCTGAAAAAAACCCTTACTTTCCTTTTGGCTTCTAACCCTCCCCAATTTGGAGTTATCTAGAAAATTTAGGTTTCGGACTGCAGAACTTAAAAAGGGCTTCAATTCGATGTATATGTAATTTGTTTGGCTTGGTTACTGTAGGTGCTACTGTACAAACTCAAATTGGGGGAATAGGAGAGGGAGGGCACTCTCTCTTCTTCCATTGTTCTTTTTTGCACATTCTCTCTATATCTATAGATATGTACCTAATAATATAATAACAGTACATTCCGGACAGCTAGCTTCCAACAATGACAAGCCCTCCCCGCATTGGATTACGGTCGTTGACTTTTCGCGCGCAAATAGACCACCGCGTAGCCTACCATAAACAATAAAGGTGCCAATTTTCGAGGGCATTTGGGACATTTATAGGGGAAGAAATAGGGATTAGAGGGATATGAATCGTTTTAAAAAAAAAACTCCTTTTTGAAAATAAGAAGATTCAAAAATTCAAACATAACGGCCAGAAACCGATGGAAAGAATTTTAAAATTCAAAAAAAAGTTTTTTGAAAAATCGAAAAAAAACTGAAATTTCAAAAATCCCAAAAATTCCGAAATTGGCGAGGGATTAAATTTAAAAGTTCCGAAAATAGCTTGTTTTTGAAAATTTTCGAAATTTTGGATTTTTCAAAATTTTGGATTTTCAAAATTTTTGGAATTTCTGAATTTTTGGATTTTCTAAATTTTCGGAATTTTCGGGATTTCTAGCATTTTAGAATTTTAGAATTTTTTGATTTTTGGATTTTCAAATTTTCTGAATTTTCAAGTTTGTTCAGAAATTCAGAAATTCAGAAATTCGGAAATTCAGAAATTCAGAAATTCAGAAATTCAGAAATTCAGAAATTCAGAAATTCAGAAATTCAGAAATTCAGAAATTCAGAAATTCAGAAATTCAGAAATTCAGAAATTCAGAAATTCAGAAATTCAGAAATTCAGAAATTCAGAAATTCAGAAATTCAGAAATTCAGAAATTCAAAAATTCAGAAATTCAGAAATTCAGAAATTCAAAAATTCAGAAATTCAGAAATTCAGAAATTCAGAAATTCAGAAATTCAAAAATTCAGAAATTCAGAAATTCAGAAATTCAAAAATTCAGAAATTCAGAAATTCAGAAATTCAGAAATTCAGAAATTCAGAAATTCAGAAATTCAGAAATTCAGAAATTCAAAAATTCAGAAATTCAGAAATTCAGAAATTCAGAAATTCAGAAATTCAAAAATTCAGAAATTCAGAAATTCAGAAATTCAGAAATTCAGAAATTCAGAAATTCTAAACTTCAGATCGCCTGGACCCGTGTCTCTGATGGTGCCATTCTGACTGCGGGAAACCGTACCTTTACAAGAGACCCAAGATGGCAAGTCTCCAAAAAGTCAGCAAATATTTGGGTGCTGAATTTAAGGTGAGGGTTACTGTAGAAATTTTTGAAAATTCGAATATTTCCAGACGTGCAGAGCACCAGGATTCGGGATGTTATCTGTGTGAAATCAATGATAAGCATAATACAGTATACGCAGTTTATTTGAAAGTGTTGGACCCGCCTCTTCCCTCCCCAGCTTCGCTGCAGAGTGAGATTTTTTTTAAATTTGAATTTTTGAAAAAAAAATTTCAAATTTTTTTCCAGAAAAATCAACAAAACTAATGGCGAACATGTCTGGAGATGAAGTTGTGCTGAATTGTACAGTAACCTCAACTGATAAGACTGATAATGATATTGATGTGGTTTGGACGAGAGATGGGAATTCAATCAATTTCAATAATACTGAAAGTGAGATTTTTTTTTTTTGAAAAACAACTTTTAAAGGCGCATAACTTCAAAACTACTGTAGCTAGAAAAATTTTGTTAAGATAAAAAATGTGTAAAATTTTATGCTAAGCAATATTGTTGTTGACAACTGTTTTCCAGCTACTGTAGTTTTTGAGTTATGCGCCTTTAAAGAAAGGATACCTGCTTCATGTAGCATTGCTATCATTAGAGACGCATAACTCAAAAACTACGGTATCTAGGAAAAAGTTGCTAACAACAAAACTATCAAACACAAATAGATCTTCATTTTTGTAGTTTGCAACTTTTTTCTAACTATCGTAGTTTTTGAGATATGCGCCTTTAAAAATTGGTACCTCGACCCAAGACGAAACCTGTTATAGATCCAAAAGACGGCAAAAAGAAAGCTTCCCTAAACCTAGATATAGCAGAACTATATATCAATTTGTAGATTTTGTCAAGATCTATGTTTTCTATATTAGACTTTTTGAAAATATTGAGTTTGAAGCGAGTAACGCTCCTTTAAACATTGCGTACCTCTCCCCTCCTTCTAGAAGGCTGCTGTGAGCGCGCGCATTTTTAAAGGCGCATAACTTTAAAACTACATTAGCTAGAAAATTTTTGTCAATACAAACAATGTGTAACATTGAATTTTACATACTTTTGTAATTGACAAATTTTTTCAACTACCGTAGTTTTTTGAGATATGCGCCTATAAAGATGGGTACCCTGGCTTCTTCGTGTTCTCCAGGTGTCTTGTCTTTAAAGTCACATAACTTCAGAACTACGGTACTTAGGTAAATTTTAAAAATATGACAATTTGTGAATTTAAATAATACATATTTTTGTAGTGGACACCTTTTTTCTAGCTACCGTAGTATTTGAGATATGCGCCTTTAAAGGTGGGGTACTTTAAGCGCGCTCAAAGCCTTCAAGGCACAAGTCTCTTCCTCTCTTATCATTCTTATTAAGAAAGAAATTGAAAGAGAGAGAGAGAGGGAGAGAGAGAGGGAGAGAGAGAGAGACGCAGAGAAAACTTGTCTTCTTAGAATTGCAAATGTGATTTGTAAGTTGATCATCATCCCGTTCAGTTTACATTACCTCCTCCTTCCCCTCCCCGGTGGTCCGATCCGTCATGTCCCTTTAAACAAACAAATCATTCTTCTCAAAACTAAGTCAATTTCCTCTCTCAATTACCCCCAAAACGGGCGGAACTATAATTGAGAGAGGGAAAATAGAGGAATTGGATTTGAAGAGAGAAGCAGGTGTGCAGTGGAGCGAGGATGAGCAATGAGAGGAAACCTCTTTATGTTTTATTCATTCCTTTAGTAGTAGACTCATTGAATAGGCAAATATTTGAATGAATATGAAAAATTTGATGTGAAGAGAGAGAGAGAGAGAGAGAGAGAAAGGGAAAATGTTAGGGACTAGTTTGCAGTTTGAATTTTTGGGAAATTTAGAGTTTCAGGGATTTTAGCGCCTATTATCGGAAAATCCCAAAATAAAAGCTAGCCAAATTTTAAATCATTTTGAAGGGTTTTTTGAGTTCTATGTTTTCCAATTTACAACTTTTGAAAATATTGGGTATGAAGGAAGTTAGACATCAAAATGTGAAAGAAGTGCCGCTTATCCCATATCTGCCCACCAAGACAATGGCCGGTTAGGTTCACAATCCTGTTTTCCAATATAGTCGAATTGTATAGCATTTTGTAGATCTTGTTATGTTCTACATTTTCCATTTTAGATTATTAAAAAAGAATAAATTTGAAGCAAGTTATACGCCGGCAAGTAATCGGTCCTAGATGATACTTTGCTTCCGAAGGGGCCGGCGGCACATTTTGATGTGTAACTTTCTTCACACTTTATATTTCTGAAATATGTGAACTGGAAAATAAAAATCATTAAAATTCCTTCAAAATGATATAAAATGTCACTAGTTTTGATTTTTGCATTTTGTGATAGAAGGCACTGAAGCGAAGCTTGCTTAAGGAGTCAACTATGTACTAACATGTACAGTGCCTCCTGTCACAGCATTCTCAAATCCCAGCTAGCAAAATTTATGTCATTTTGAAGGTTTTTTAAAGTTTTATATTTTCCAATTTAGAACTTTGAAACATATTGAGTTTAAAGGAAGTTGTCCTTAACACAATAGCACCCTAACTGTACAGCGTCGGCTGCTGACCTTTCCACTTTAAAGGTGGGGGGACATGAAAAAAAAATTTTTCTCGAAATTCAGTTCAAAGATGCCTCTCGAGGAGTTGAACTTGTGAGGGCGATGATTGAGGGTGCGGCGCCGCTACCGACTGAGCCACGCGGGCAAAGAGAAAGCGCACGCCCGATTGCATACATAAAGGCGAGGACGACAGCTGTACGCAGAGTGGCGTTAAGCGTTGTACACCGTCACGGAAGAATGCATACTCTGGCCCCGAAAATCCCCCGTAAAATCTCCTGTCCCCCCACCTTTAAGCACAATTATCTCGGTTACTGTAAGAGATATCAAAGGTCTGTTAACTATTAAAATATTAAAGGGGGACTCCGACCAAAAATTTTTATTGCATTAAAATGTTTGAACAATTGTCTATTTTCCTAATATTATAGCGAAAAAATTCGAAAAAAATCCGAAATCCCCGAAAAATGCCGTTAAAAGCGAAACATTT